TATATATATATATATATATATATATATATATATATATATATATATATATATATATATATAATNTTATTAGTTCACAAGACAAACATATAGTTGAAATGAATAAAACAACTGTTTTAAATGATTTTTAATGCTGTGTGGGGTTACCTGCTGTATGATCAGCATTTTTTCTGCTTTGGGATATTTCTTGTTTGTTCTGAACAGTTAAACTGTGCTTTTCTTTTCTTTCTTCCTCCATGTTCTGCAGATTCTTCAGTTGTCGAGGATATTTTGCATATTTGAATACAGTAACCATGATTTCAAGATCCATCTTAAAAACCTTTTTACAAAATTGGAGATGTCAAATTCTTGTTTTGATGAAATATCATTTTATTCAGATCTTATCTCACAATTAATGGCAGAACACTCAACCATGAGGTTGAGAGTACTTTTGCAGTAGTGATAAATGTCAATAGTTAAAAAAATGAAAGAGATTGTACAAAATGCATGCTATTTTTAATTTACTAAGTTTTATTTAGACTTAAGATATTGTACACAAAATATGTATATTAGTTCACAAGACAGAAAAGTATATTACAGAAATCTATAACAGAAACTAATAAAAGCTCTGCTGCTCAAGTCTCATCAGCAGTTGCTTTAGCAGTCTCGATTTGCTTTGATGCCATTCAGCTTTACTCTGCTTCATACAACCATGATAATAAGTTTTGAATACTCCAGCTCATGAACATGATTTCTGCAGGAGTCCCGTAGAATGTAATAAAGACCACAAATCCCATGATTCCATAAATAGTAGTGGCGTCATTATTAAAACACGTTTATGTTTGTTGTTAGCGTGCCCTCTAGTGGCAAAAATTACATACTGTGCCTTTAAGCCAATTCAAAAGCATTCAATAATTGACAATTTTGCAGCATTTGGAAATTTCAGAAACATTTGGAATATATCATAAAGAGCAGAAAACCAACTGGAAAATAATTCCCCATATGCCCAATATAAAAAAAGAAAACAAAAGGGACCTTACTTGTGCTTGTTGGGGCACCTGCCCACCAAAGCATTTTTCCCCAAACTTATTTTTTGTTGCAGTCAATGGAAGTGTTGTTTTCGTTGTTGTTTTTTTTCCTTCTTTTTTTTCTTTTCTTTTTTTTTATTGTTTGTTTTTTTATGTGGGTAGCTTAGCAAGGCACCGAGTGTGCATTATACTGCACTCTTCGATGAACACTCTGTATTTTAAAAAAATCTCCAACAGCTGGACAGGTAAGCATTTTTAGAAGAGCACTGGCATATTCAGCTCTCCGGTGGACATGCACATTTATGATAAATAAGCTGCTGTTAAAAAGGAGTTCCTTTTTAAAGTTTAGCTTAATGTCTTTAATCATTGAACTCACAATTTATTAAAGACTAAATCATGCTGTGATTTTTTTTTTTTTTTTTTTACACAAATCCTTCCAAAACACAGAATCTCTACTCCACAAAACATTAACAGAAACTGTACAGTAGGTGTCTACAACTGGGTGTCTACATCTGAAAATGAGCCATTGGTGCCCTCTGAAGTAAGTCTGGAAGAATTGTTAGAACCAGACACATTGTTCACATCTGCAAACAATTACACACAAGTTATTCACATCAGAAATGCACACTGAAATGTCTTCACATTAATTTCTTTAGCCAAATGTAAAACAACATTTGACAACATTCATGATTCATATTTTAGAAAATATATTTCTAGATTTCTGTTATCTTACTCTTCTGTGGTGTCTCTTGTCTAGCTGAAGATGATGCTCCTCCACTGGTGCTCTGTAAGGAGATAATAAATCAAAATCAATGGCAGTGTAAAAATCTATAAGCAACAGATTAATGTTGAAAATTAAAGTACTGTAGATAAATATGTGTGGTAGGACATTTATTTACCTTGGTAAAACGGGAAGTGATTTTCTCTAATAGCAGTTTTCCTCGTAGTGACTCTCGAACCTGCAACAAAAGAGTTCCATGTTATCTATAGAAATCTGAGCATTTTCTAGATATTTGATTATTACAAGGCTTTCTGAAATACTTGATTTTGATTCATTAATTGCAACATGCAGTAAACACATTCATTCATTCATTTATTTTTCTTTGGCTCGGGGATTGCCTAAGTGTAATTTACAGCCAACTATTCCAGCATACTATATGTTTTATGCAGCAGATGCCCTTCTAGCTGTAACCCAGTACTGGAAAACATACACTCTTGTATTCACACACATACTCATTCACTAAGGCCATTTTTGTTCACCCAAATCACCTAAACCACGTCTTTGTCATGTTCTCCCCCTTGTTCGCAAGTGATTCCTTCGGGTGCTCCGGTTTCCCCTACAGTCCAAAGACATGCTCTTTAGGTAAATTGGATAAACTAAATTAGCCATAGTGTGTAAATGCAAGAGTGTATGGGTGTTTCCCAGTGTTGGGTTGTGGCTGGAAGATCATCCACTGTGTAAAACATATGCTGGATTTGTTGGCGCTTCATTCCGCTGTAGCGACCCCTGATTAATAACGGGACTAAGCCTTCAACTTTTTACCAGAGATAATAATGCAATAATAATGTGTGTGTATGTCGAGTAAATTGACTATGGGATTATGGGACATAAACGTCTGTTGTCTTCTTTAAGAAACGAGGGTTATGTACGTAATCAAGACATTTACCTACAGTCGATCACTATGATTTTACATCAAGCTGATTGACTAATCATATCCTAAGCACTACAGGAGCTGAACCCATTACGCAGTTTTACCCAAGCACCACCAAAAAAAAAAACTATAAAAACTATCAAATGTCCCTGGCCCTAATTACCAGGTAGCCAGCACATTCGTGCTGAGGTGAGCCTTGTTCAGGGAATTGAAAAACTGGCAATGCGTGGTCTCGGCTGAGGCAAACAGGTCAAAAGCAAGAAAGCAAGGTCTGACCACCTGACTAAGGAAGCGATGTCTGAAACATCGGCAACATGGTCACTTGTTGGGTGCTTGTGCACCATGTTGAATTGATCCAGACAGGCCATCACTGACGAGGCATGCTCTCTGGTGAGCCACATGCTCATAAAGCCCAAGTCCAGCTCCACAATGATAAAAAGGGATGCTTTGCTTGGTGAGATTTGCTCTTTTCCCAGTTGACCTGCAGCCCCAATAGGCTCAGGTACACCAAATCCCTGTGCATTTTCAACTGTCCCCAAAATTGAGCTATGATTAGCCAATTGTCAAGGTACAGTAGTTGAGAATGCAGATTCCTGCCTGCCAGAGCAGCAGTAGGGCACTCTCCACAACCTTCGTAAAGACTTGAAGGGGAGGACTTTGTATTGCCATCCTTGACCTTTGAACACAAACCATAGGAACGGCCGCTATTAAGGAGGTATTGAAACATGTCCAATTGCTGCTAACCAATCCTGGGGACGAATACATGCGATAATGTGCTTATGCATGAGCATCCTGAATGGTATCCTGTCCAGATACCATTCAAGACTTGCAGATGCAGAATTAGTCTCGACCCATCAGGCTTTTTGGGCACAATGAAGTACTGTGTGTAGAACCTGGACTTCATTTCGGCTGTAGGGACAGGCTCAATTGCATCCTTTCTCCAGTAGGACTGCAATCTCTTTGTGCATGACAGGGGGAGCTGCAGAATTCACAGCTGAGAAATGCACATTCTTAGAAGGCTGTCAGGCACACTGAATCACCATAGCAGTGTCTGATTGTACGAATGAGCCACAGTGATGGGCTGGGCAGCAATAAACACACTGGCAAAACCCGCAAGAGAGGCACCATCCAATCGACCTCTGCTATACCAGATGTGGGGAAGCTTGCAGGGATCTGAGGGCCACACTCGGAAGGCAGCATGTCCCTTGGAAGGTCAGGCAAGTGCACAGGGGTCTCTCCACAACACCACCAGTATGCAGCATCAGGTTAGATGATGCGATGGCAGCCACAGGACAACAGCGCCAGTGCGCTTACCACACACTAGCTATTGGTGGAGTGGAAAAGCAGTGATGAAGCCAATTGGGTGGATGGGGATGATTGGGAGGCCATGATCATGACCTCAATGTAATGCATATAACAGTGAATTTGTATTTAATCTAAACATCTGCTAAGTTAAATGGCTTTAGTAAAGGTATTTACAAAAAAAAAAAAAAGAATGAACCCATACCTTGCTGTCTAAAATTGTCCCAAACAGCAAAACAAATAATCCCTATTAAAGGATGAAGAAGAAATACATTTAATTTTTTAAAGTAATATCAGTTGCAATTTTAAATTATTTAGAAAATACTTGGGGCCAGATTTACAAAACAGGCCAAATCAGCATATTCATGAGCTACTTTTACCTTCATGCTCCTTTTACCTTTTCAGCACTAATGTGTAACACAGCTAAACATTAATGCTGAAAAGGTAAACTGAGCAGTAAATCATGACATTACTTTTAAATGCCAAATTAAATGCCAAGTGAAGGTTTGCTCTAACACAAGCAATATGTAAATCTGGCTCACAATCAATACATTGCACAAATTACAATGCACAAAAATATTAAAAAGGATTTCTAGAGACAAATAATGATACCTGGAATGAATTGAGGAGTGTGAATACCACATGAATGCCTAATTTACGTGACACCATGGTTCCAATTCCAAATCCCCATGTTAGACCAAAGAGAGGAGTCAAAAGGGCCACACATCGGACAACGGCAAAGAATGTATGTTTCTCATCTGGTTGAGTTGCGGCACCAACTCCACTTTTCAAAATCTTGTACAGAACCACAACCAAAACCACAAGGTTTATGGCTACAATAGTGAGAGCTGGAATCACAAATGCCAGCAGAGCCCTGGATTCATCCCAGTTCAGCCAGCATGCTTGTTTGGAAACATAATTCTGAGGTCCAGCTGTCGACGCAACAGTGATGGATGCTATGAGCAAAGGTGCACCGTAACCAACTGTGAAGGCAATGATCATTATTATGATAATTGACATTCGGGAAAATACCATGACTGTCATGTAAAAGAGAAGCATCCCTGAAATTAACATCCAGAAGAAAAGAGCCAGGTAAAAAAAGTGCATAAAGAAAACCACTGGACTGCAGCGATTCGCATGGGTTGGCATGTCTTCATCTGAGATTGCAGCTTCAATGAAGAAACAGATGTTTGCTATCAGTAATGACAGGGCAATGTTGACTAAGCAGACATGTCGAATATAGGAGGTGACATTTCTGACACCTCTGGTTGATGTCACTGATTTCCAAACGATAGCTTCAATAATGAGGCATAAAATCAAGCTGGCCATTGAAATAGATACTCCAATGTAAGTTATATAGGCTAAGACTTTTCTGTCAATGTCAAATGGTGACATTAGAATTGAAAAAGAGGTTGTGTGGTTGCATTCACATGTAATTATGCCAGAGTCATTTCCTACTTGCTTTACTTCACATCCAGTGGAATCCCATGCGTCAAAGTCAAAGTTCCAAAAGACACACTGAGGATTTCCCAAAGATTGATTAGTAATGCCGAACACAAAAGATATGTTGTTAACTGGCTTATCAGCTTTAACAACAACCACGTCACCATTGATAAGTTGATCTGATTCCGTGCTGCTGTTATAATTCGAAATTTTACGGGTTGGAAGGATATTGTTAAGAGTTGTGAAGATTAGGATGGTTGCTGTGGTCATCTCAGGAAGCTGTGGTATCACAATCTCAGTAGTTGAGTTTGGCAATGTTGATGTTACATTGAATGAGTTACTTACTATAGTTCTGATCAACTGAATGTATGTTTGATTTATTTGAAAAAAGTTTATGAGACGTTCACTTATATTCTCGATGGCGTTCAGAAGTTTAATGTTGGTGTTTGCCGTGGTGTTGCCATTGATCAGTTTTTTCCATGTTGCAATGGCATCATTTGATAAAGCAATGTCTACTATTTTTAGGAAACTCTGGAAAATTAAAAGAAAAACATGAGATATAAGTAATACAAGTACATAATGATGGGGTGACCACGCATAGCAACACATATGTTTCTCATAGAGTTGATCAAGTTGTTGATTGTGGCCAGTGGATTGTTGGTCCTCACCTCTTCAATGGCTGTGCGAATTTGCTGCATATTGGCAGGAACTGGAATATGCTCTCATATATGCCAATCCAGAGCATACAATATATACTCTATGGGTGACCAGTGAGTGTATGGGCTACGCAAGAAAGAACTGGAATGTTATCAGCTTTCAGGAAGTATGTACAGATCCTTACAACATGTAGTCATGCATTATCATGCTTCAACATGAGGTAATGTTATTGGATCAACATCTTTTACAGAACCACAATCAAAACCACAAGGTTTAGTTAGTGGTGGTAACTCTGTGCCTTGAAAATGCCATGCATAACATACACCTGCACATACCATAACCTCATCACCACCATGGACCTCTTGATGCATAACATTGACATTTGCAAAGCATTTAACTACACTGAAAAAAGATTCATCGAATTTACTACATTTCTTTTAAAGGCAAGTGAATGTAAACAACTTATATGGGCTGAATTTAAACAAATTAAATTTAGTAATGTTCAACTTATATTCAATATCCAGCTTATTTTCAATATTCAGCTTACATAAACTGTTGCAACAATTTGCAATGAACCATTTTTTCAGTGCACATGATGCCATGATGTCTGTCGTCTGCCCTGCATAGCGAACACTGCTCCAGTGTGCCAGATGCTATTGAATAAGAGCATTTGCCCAATGATGGCCACTCATTTGTACAGTAAAAACCTGTTGCAACAGCTGTCTGGGCAGTACCGCCGCTCCCTATACGGAGAGTACACAGGCTGCGTAGGGCCTCAACTCCGAAGGGGGGGGACCATCTCGGCTGCTCGGAAATTTTTTTTTATGTTTATTTACTAATATCAACATAAACTGCGTGTAAATAAAACATCTATTTATAATATGTTGTTAAACACATTTAAAAAATCATTTTAAGGCGGACGCATAAACAAACATGTGACATAATATTTCGTGCACGCGCATATCCGTGTCCGCGTAGCGCGGCCCGGTCCACTTATCTTTGCAGCTGCTAGCTGCATATAATTATAATAGATGCAAGTTGCGGCTCTATGCACGGAAAAAGACAACAGCAGTCTGGAGCCGAGAAGAGGAAGAAAGTACAAGACGAATCGTGTGCATCTCTTTCAGGTAGCTTCCATGAATCTGGAAAACATATTTTTGGTTGTTTAAGTAAATTAGTGAGGCTAATGTTTAAACTTCACAACTGCTATGCATTGTGCTTTAGACAGGACATGTTCTATGACTTTTCACGTTTGCCCCTCTTCCCCATGTTGCTGCTAATTACACAAACTCAATTAGTGTCATTAACTTGTGCAATACTTTACAATTCTGTTTGCACACTAGCTACATACACATACACTGCACAAATCTTTGCAGACAGCAATTATTATTGTTTATTGCTTTGTCTATTTCTATACATTTCTTATTGCTGTTATTGCTTGTATCACTGCAATGACAATAAAGTCTCTTTAGTATTTTTTGTGCATTACAGTATGAAATAACAAAACCGACTTATATTCTGTGATTTCTGGAAGATCAATAATATAAAATGAGTCAAGTTACTGTAAATTACGGCCAGAAACCATTTATATTGCATGAATTCATTAATGATTATTTTTTCTAAATGTTAACAAAGTTTTTTGTTTAAAAATACACCAATTCATTCTTAAAAACCACAATTGTCTTTGATTTATACTGAAAGCTAGGGTCAGTTTTTGTCACCATAGATTACAGTGCAAGTTAAATCCACATGTTAGTTGTAGTTTAGACACATTATGAAGAGTGCTGGGCTAGCCTATTGTTTTAATGGTATGTCATGAGCTTTCTTCTTTAAATGACTAATTTCTTCTGTATTGTTCATGGAGGTCAATGCTGAAACTTGTCACAAAAGAAGATGGGGTGGCCTGACCAGCACTGCGCCAAAGACACCAGCAGTTGCACAGGTACAGGATGCAGCACTGAGGACCGTCTATCTCTACAGGTACAGAGAGGGTTTTATTCCTTACCCTAAATGTTTGAAATTATGTTTCTGCAGAAGATATGACAGTGTTTATTTTGATGTAAGCTATTATTTTGTAATGTAAACATTTGAACGTTCAAGTATAATTTGAGGGTTTATATGCATATTTATGTATATAAATAAATAAGTAAATACATGTTTAAATGTTTGTGCGATTTTGTTCCTCTGTGGGGGCACCACAGTAAAATTTTGCTTAGGGCACCCTTTTGGCCAGCAGCGGCCCTTTGTCTGGGGGTTTGGTTTTAGAAGTACTTGGAGGTGAAGATGCTGGATGTGGTCTTGGACTGGTGTTGTTACATGTGGTTTGCGGTTATGAGGCCGGTTGGATGTACTGCCAAATGCTTATGGAGATAGAAAAATTAACTATAATTTCACAGGCAGAAGATCTAGTGGACATTTTTGCAGTCAGCATGCCAGTTGCATACTTCCTTAAAATGTCCTCAAAACTAGCCAACATTTCACAGGCCACAATCAACAACCTGATAACTCAATGTGAAGGAAATGTGTTGCACTGCGTGAGGCAAATGGTGATAACCATTTGTGCTCCCCTGGGCAAAAAAAGGGTAAAATAAGCATTTTTCTTGAGTTTATATAATATAATAATATGTTATATAATAATAGTAATATCATTTAATATATCATGAATCAGTTTAATATTATGAACACATTATGAACTATGCAGACTAAATCACCACTAGCTTAACGATATATCAAAATTTAAAGTCACTTCAATACATCAAACATAAAACATTGACAAATATAATTTTACAAAAAAAAAAAAAAAAAAGAATATATAAAAGAGAATATATGTACCTTCATCACTGGCTGACCAATGAAGATTGCTTTTACCAGATCAGCAATTTTAAAGAGTATCTCCACAATCACTCGCACAATAGGAGCAGACTGAGTTATAATAATAGTATTCTGCTCTGCTGCGAAACTGAGGTTAGCCATGAGTTCTGGAATCTGTTCCACTGGCAAGGTCTAAATTGCAAAATACCAAATATTAATGTTGGAATAATATTTAGTCTAATGGCCAAATAATTGTAGATACATGATCAAAAGATTACCTGAATTAGGTTAAGTAAATCACTAATAATCGCAAGTATACAGTTTTCATCTATTGCTGTCCAGCCATTTAAATCACATCTGTAAATGATGATGCCTTTTGTGCCGTTTGGACAGAATCCATTGGTCTGATTGGTTATATTTCCAATTCCAAGTTCTTTATTTAGACAGTCATATGCTGGAAAAGTATTAGATAATTATAGTCAGACAGAAACACTTGTATACTGTGCAGAAGAGACAGAAATAACAAGGATCCAAATATGGATGCACTGATGTATCGGCTGCTGACATTTATCAGCAGATATTAGATTGCTTTAAAGCTATTGTTATATCAACAATATAAATATGGCTACTTAATGTTCATTAGTTACATGGAAGAAATGAGCTGCACATCTTGTAAAATAACCTCAAAGCAAAATCATTAAATATTTGCAAAAAACTAAATATAATATGTACAAAATATCAGATCTGCATCTAATATGTTCAGTAGGTAGCACTTTAATATGAGCATTAACACCATGCCTTTTCCCGTCGCCGCACTGAAAGGCACTTTCATAAGCAAGAAACAGTTAAACAGACCATCTATAGACCAGCGAGAACGTTCGAGGTTACTAAAGTAACCCTTCGTTCCCCGAGGAGGGGAATGGAAGCACTATAAGTGGATTTGATGTTCTAAATCCACGTATGGGAGGATTCGGTTCAGAAGCCGCTCGTCTGAAAGAGTATTGAACGGGCCAATGAAAGCAATGAATTGGCAGCGCAAGCTTACGCAGGTGTGCTGCATCGCCAATTAACTGAGCATATAAGCACACCTGGCGCCAGCAAACGCTACCCTTTTTAAGCTGAAGAGACTTTTAACAGCTAAGGGACAGTCATTATGGCGACGGAGTATAGTGCTTCCGTTCCCCTCCTCGGGGAACGAAGGGTTACTTTAGTAACCTCGAACGTTCCCCTTCGGAGGGAACTTCAGCACTATAAGTGGATTTGATGTTCTAAATCCACGTATGGGAGCCCATTGACAGCGCCATAATGACTGCACCTTACCAACACCCACCATGAGAGGGCAGTCAGGCAAGCGTGACGCACCCAAATCATGGGAGGCGCGGTCCTCCAACGTGCCCCTGGCCCTAACTTATCCCCACTTCAAAAGAAGCTTTACGGAATAGGTATATTTTTTTGGGAGTCACTAGCGTCTAGATAATTCTAGGAATATACGACAGTACGTTGGAAAGCGTGCCATCCCAGTGGGGAGGACGCTGCGGAGACCATCCGCACCCAATAGGGAGACAAATGGAATTACATATGGACTAACCCTGAGAAGGGGGAGTGCGCATAAGAAGGTGGTTAGCGGATAGGGAAAGCACTGGTCCACCCAGGGGGGGGAACTTGACCGTGGTGGAAAAGCATATGGGGATCACCAGCGGGGATCGGCCATAGCAGGCACCTGTACCCAAAAACGCGGGCTGACCAGCGGGCAGACCTAACGTAGTGGGCCAGCGAGTGACTCCTCCGCGGAGTCAGTGCTGGGGGCCTCGGAGGAATCTGCAGGGCTCACCGAATGGGGAACTAT